CCCCAAAACCCCAAAACCCCAAAACCCCAAAACCCCAAAACCCCAAAACCCCAAAACCCCAAGGCTATTCCTCATGATTGAGCTCTTAAATTTTATTATCAAGAAGAAAAATAAGAGATGTCAAATAGAAGGCCAAATTTGTTCAAGATGGTATACGAGTTATAGAAGGAAATTAGTAGCTAAACATATGTTCTTCGTAGGTTCTAAGAGCCAAGGCAGGGATCAATGCCCCTCAATGACCTTTGCACATCTTCATAGAAGATGGAAATTAATTCGCGTTTTATACAAAGACTTAGGAGGATATGATACAGAGCAGGGAGGTGCACCTGGAGCCTAGGAAGCCAATAATGAGCATATGAAGAATGGCTCGAATCAACCAGAAAGTCTATTTATTCACCTTGAGCATCTAGGTGTTTACTATAAATTTCCTTCTTTAGGATTTCACTAATCTTGGAAAATATTTGGTGAACCACCTCCGAAGATGAGCAAATGTTTGCAAATACTGATAAAAAACTTAAGGCTTTTACTGGGCAACCTGATACAACCTGGAAAGTTAATCCTCTTCTTCTAAGAGCTTCTTGATTCTGTTGTTCTCCTCCTGAGTCAAGGTCTGGTAGGAAGTCATCGGAATGTTGGTGCGGGTTGATAGGACCTACATTGATGAAACTAATTAAGAAGGGAGATAGAGCAATGCTTTCATTAAGAGTCAACTTGCGAGAATTTTTAACGATAGTGCTCTTGATCCCTGAAACATGCAAAATTTTGGAAAATGTAATAAAAGATATTAATCTTTTACCTTTGATGGAGATTTCTTGGGCAAATTCATATATTTAGCATCTTTCAACTGCTGGTTTGTAGTATTCTGATTCTCGCTCAGCTGCTTGAGAGAGCTCTGGAGCAGGTCAGGTGTCTATATTGTTTTATATATCTGGATAACTTATGGACAGTCCCAAATGACAACAAAAGAGTATCCTTAATTATGGATAAATACAGTCTCCAAAAGTGAATTACCTGACTAAGACTTGGCTTTACAGTGGCAACATGGTTATCGGTTTTAGGCTTTTCATCAGAAAATAACTTCGGGTCATGCCTAAACATAAGAGCGGTAACTTTACAGGTATGCTCTGTCTCTTTTTCTAGCTTTTATACTCTCCATGCTGGAGGGAGATTTGTCTTCTTCGAGTGCTTCAGACACTTTTCTACTTCTGCTTCTTCTCGATAGGCTAGATATATCAATTTAAATTATACTTCTATTAAGAATTAAAATATGGGAGTTCTTCGCCGAACACGCCTGTGATACCTACCTGGAGGAACTGTCACTAGACATCCTGATTCTTCGGGGTTCTATGAGAATTCAGAGACAAACATAATGGCAAGTTTTTACCAATATTCGGCTTGATGTTTGGTCTAAAAAGTTAAGCAGCTGGCGAGGGAAAATTTTTTATTTACTTACTTTTTATGGAGGGCTTTTTCAACTCTAGCTTTCATTCCCATGATCTTCCTCTTGTGCATGCCCTCTTCTACCTTTAAGGCAGTCTCTTCATCTGGTAAGTCCTATATTTATTAGTACTCAACGGAGTTAGATGTCTTGATCAATGACTTGAAGTTGTATTGCATCTCAAGACCATTATAGATCAAAAACTCTTCAACAGAGGATTCCCAGTAAGCTAGGGGTCTTACAACAAAGGCAAAGTTGTTATTTCTTTCTGACATCAATGACTTCTCCGAACTCTTGAAGTATTTCCTATAACAGAAAGTATGAAACAATTTATGAAAATTTCTAGAAATTCAGAAATCTAATCAAAGATGCCTCTGTACTTGTAGCAACCACCAGTGTTGTTTGGTGGGAAGACTCACTAATCAGGAGAGAAACTTCCATACCATATTTCATGATTTGCTAGGAACAACAAAGCACAAAGAATTTAGCAGTTAAATAAGTTTTAAGTTTAAATTTGAAGAGATTACGATCAATCAGTATTCCTTTAACTTTAATTTTATAGTTTAATCAAATTCTCCTGGCTGGCGAATGGCGATTTAGGCATGGTATTACAACTCGCTTATTTCATCGTCCCCACACTGAGTAAGTTACCCTCCAAACAAGACTTGGTAAGCCAACTCAATACTAACTGAGAAAAATTGTGAGAAGGAGATCCTACTGTGCCAAAAGAGATCTGGTTCAGGAAAACATTGCTAAGGAAGAAAATCATAGTCGATCGCTTCCTGATACAAAAGGGCGCGGGATTCCTGGATCAGAAAGCTTGTCTAAAGTGGGTACACTTACCATCATCTGGTATTTAGTCAATCTCTCATGCAGATTTCCTATAAAGAGGGTTTGGACTTGTTTTGACATCTTGCAAATCTTTAAGTAATTATCGCAGTCTATAATTTCTTCCAATTGTTTGAATATTGTAGGGGTTTTGGGGTTTTGGGGTTTTGGGGTTTTGGGGTTTTGGGG